GTGCACTTCTGTTGCAATTTTAATTTTTAAAAAGAAAATGGAGAGGCTCTCCACAAAATTCAATGCCGCAATAGCAATGACTGAACCAGAATCACAAAATTATGAACAGTTCACTAAATTGTCTATTAGAAGCACATATCAAGAGGCTGCAGAACAAATTGTGTGCCTGAAATAACAGATCAATGAACGAAGAATAAAGAGATGTAAGAAGTGGAGACGTTGACGAACCATTGTAATTTGTGAAGAATCAATTTCCATACAGCCAGAGTAATGGCAGAACATCACAGACAGTGTATTCATGACTTTTAACAGCAACAAAATCATGGATTACCAAATGGAAATTTATTAATGCTCCAAGAAAGAGAGAATGATGCTGTAACGTAAGGCCAGGAAGTACACACACTTCTCAAAATTAGTAAAATGCAATAAACACAGCCGACAATATATATGTACAGTAAAAAAAAAAAAGTTCCCTTGGGCAAGATGGGTAAATCCTTTAAAAATGAGAAAACCAGCCTACAATGCAGCTAACAATGGTAACACTGAATACATACACCACTTTTGTCTGATGATACAAGTCTAGCTACTTTATGATCTCACTGTATGTCCAGCTACATAATGTTCAGCCACAAATACACATCAGTGAACTACTAAAGCCAAAGGATGATGGCTCAAAGCAAAGGCCTAAGGCCAGGTTTAACCACATCACCTTATGGATTATATGAGCTGCTGCTTCCTAAGCTAGCACAGTTTGCTGAACACATCTGTCCTGGTTTCGGCTGCGATGGAGTTCATTTTCCTCCCAGTAGCTGCTTTGGATTTAGTACAAGAAGAATGCTGGTAACAGTGATGTTTTCAGTCGTTGCTACGAAATCAAGGACTTTTTCCAGTTTCTCACATTCAGCTGATGAGCTGGAGCTGGGAGGGAGCACAGCCAAGCAGCCAGCCAAGCTGGGCAGTGGAAATATTCCATACCATGGATGGTGTGCTCCGTGTGTACACGTGTGCTGGCTGGGGAGCAGGAACCCTTTTCTATGAGTTTGACCCTTTTTTCCATGAGTTTGGCGAAATCCACAACATCTGCAAGCTCCAGGAAATCGGCAGGTTCCGAGACCGTTGCCTGGGGACTGGCTGTGCAACCAGTCATCGGGCGTTGAGAAAAACTGCATTCTGTATCGCTTGTTTTGGATATTCATCATTATGATTAATTACTCCTTCTTTTGTTGTCTTATTAAACTGTCTTTATCTCAACCCATGAGTTTTAAAGTTTTGTCCATTCTCCTCCCCATCCCGCTGGGCAAGAGGAAGGAGCGAGAGAGCGGCCGCGTCGTCCCAGTTGCCGGCTTCTGGTTTAAACCACGACAACGTCTTCCCCTGGGCTACAAAACGGCCGATCAGAGGATAACACACTGCTTCTGTACTATTCAACATCTGCATCAGTGACCCACCAATCTATGGCACAAGGGGAGGTTTTATCACAGGAACAAATACCGAGGATCTTGCTGGTCAGCGTCCCCTTGCATTCCCAGGTAACTGCATAGACACTCATTGTGCCAAAACTAAACAACAGAGCATTTATAAACTTGGGTCTTGTTGGAAGAGCTGTGTGGTATCAAGCATCTAGTAGACAACAGCCTGAAACACAGATGAGTTTCTTTTTTCTCTAAAACACAGAACAAATAAACAACTTGGGACAACTCACCCTGTCAGATTCCCGACCTCAAACCTTCCTTGCCTTTTACCTACCAACACAAACAGACTGCGTTTTCAAAGATCACTCAAACCTGAACACTGACTGTAACTCAGGCAAAACGCACAGGACAGATGGCAGAGGTAAGGCACCCACTCCACGAATACATCCCACCTCCTGGTTAACCAAAAACCACAAGCAGTCGTTCACACCACTACGGGTTGAAGCTGCGGCACTCTCTATCCCGGAGCACAGAACGAGGAATCTGATGATGTTGCCAAACACGTGCAAGCAGGCATGGTGGCACAGGAGCCCACATGGAGACACACCAGTCTTTACAGTTGTGTCTTGTTGAACTCATTTACTTGGAAAATGGGGGTATTTGAACAATATGGACACGCATAAAGTCTGCACACACAGACCATGGAATAGCAGCCAATCCGTTTCCCGCTGGAAGAAACGTACGCCGAGTAACTTAAGACAATGCAACAGACTGGGCCACGGCACATTCCCTGTTTTGGAAAAACATAAAGTTGACATGAAGGGATGTGACAAGCAGCTGCAGCAGCCCCATTGTCTCTCCCTGCCGCAGTTCTTTCAGGAATG